CTCGTCTGTCATTCTCTAATTTAGTTTCCTGAATTCTCATTACATTTAATCTCCAACCCAGCAAAAAGATTTGAGTGGCGCAATGGATATAGGATTAACTCCATCTCCCTTCAGGGTCTTCTGGGACAGAAGGCTCAAAATCAATTTAGAAAGTTGGGGGTAAGCACTTTACTGAGTAGAAAACATCAAGGTACCATGCCCAAAGTATGCACTTTTATTTTATTTATTTTCACTTAAATAATGTGTTTTCTGAGACAGGGTCTTAGATAGCCCAGAATGGCCTTACATTTGCTATATAGCTGAGGATGACCTTGAACTTCTAATCCCCCTGCCTCCACCTGAGTGCTAGCATTGTGGGCACGCATCATCGTACCTGGTTTATGCCCCGATGGTGGGTGGATGCAGAGCTTCCTCCAAGCTAGACAAGTCCTCTACTAATTGTTGTGTAGTTCCATCTATTAGGTTTCTGAGGCAGCTTAAAGAGACAGGAGAGAGGAGACAGGATTCTAGCCTTTCAATAGATTGAACTGTGTTTATTGGTGCTTATGGTGAGGGGGTAGACTCTTTCCCTAAAGGGAAAATGGGCAGAAAGAATGGCATGGCGCAGCTCACATTTCCTTCCTGAAGTTCCTGCCTCCCAGAGATGCTTGCTCAAGGCGAGACAGTCTCTCCCAACAGTTGACCAAGCAAGGTGCAGCAAGATTATCTGTGACCTTGTAGGAACCCTGTTTCAAGGGTGAGGAATTCTATCATCATCCCCGTCTGAAGTCTGTGTGTACTTTTACGTTTTTAAAAACGTATGTGTTTTTCTTTGTGTCAATATGGTACTACATGCATGCCTGGTGCCCACGGAGGCCAGAAGAGAGCATCAGATCCCCCTGGAACTGGAGATTCAGGTGGTTGTAAGCTGCTATATGGGTAGTGGGAACTGATCCCATGTCCTCCGAAGGAGCGGCCAGTTCCCTTAACCACTGGGGTCTCTCCAGCACCTACAGTATGTTATTTTGCATTGTGTGTAAGCACTGCTTGTGACACATGGGCATCATGGTTTCTCAGTTGCAATATGGTGCATATCTTCCTGTAATTTATAGGCAGCATCCTGTGGAAATCAGAGATGAGGTCCATGGACCACCCTCTTCCCAGGGCTGTCTTTCCAAGCCATCTGGGTCTCAGAAGGTACAAAGCTAGATTTTCTCAGCACCTCCCAGCTGTGTCAAGAGGTGTTCAAGCAGTTGTTCTGAGCAGGTGACACATGTGAGCAGGAAGGGACGAGTGTCCTCAGCTCCTGTGTCACACATGTACACAGAAGAGTATTCTTACCAGGTGCCAGGTCTCCCCAAGCAATTGTGTGAGCTCCCGGAACATCATACTGGTGCAGCGTTTACCTTACATATTTATATTTTCCTCCTAACACAATGAGACCACTTTCTTATCTTGGGGGACCTCATGGCTCACCCTCTGCCTGCTTTCCTCTCTTCTTCCACCCATGGACCTGAACACATCTCCCTGCATCGAGGCATGAGCAGGTTGGACTCACGTTTCACCATGGAGCTGGATGGCTTGTCCTGTTGCTGATCATAATTTCTGAGTTTATGAACTCCTGTGTGTGTACACAAGCTGAACATACATCTATGTAGCAGTGAGGTGTATGTAGGTTGTGTGTGTGTGAATACATAGGCCCTGTGTGTTGGACTGAGTTCTAATTTAGCTAAGGAGCCTCCTCCCTGTTTCTGCCCATGTACAGAATTATATTTCCTTTGAAATTGATAAGCACATCTTTGAAGGTACTTTTGATCTCCGTCTCCAAGCAGACCTTCAGTCTGAAGCTCAGGCACACATTAGCAGCTCTTCCCTGGGAATGAAGGCTTGGGCTGCCTTCTTATACTGACCCTTCCTCCCCTTAGATTTTATTAAGGAGAATACCTTATAATTTATTAAAGACAATCGCTTGACTCCTGACCTTGGATTCCAGTGCCTGAATTCTAATTCTCCGACCTTGAGTCCACATTCTGTCCGTAGCTTCTGGCTCAGACTTTATTCAAATATGCACTCACTAAGGTTTATCTGCTAAGATTAGTTAGGAAATTCTCAATACAGCTTAGTGATATTATCAAATTCAATTCAGAGACTGTAGTAACTTTTTAAATATACTAATTATGCATAAAATATATGTATATGATATTATACATTATGGCATTTTCATAGATAATGTTATTTATTTATTTATTTATTTTGGTTTTTCAGGGTCTCACTAAATATCCCTGGCTGTCCTAGAACTCACTTTGTAGACTAGGCTGTCCTTGAACTCACAGAGCTTCACCTGACACGCCCCCCACCCCACCGTCTGAGTGCTGGGATTAAAGGCATGAGCCACCACTCTCTGGCCATGTTTTTTTGCTGTTTGGGGTTTTTTAGATTTATTTTTAATTATGCATGTATAATCTGTTTTTGTTTTGTTTTGTTTGTTTGTTTTGTTTTTGAGACAGGGTTTCTTTGTGGCTTTGGAGGCTGTCCTGGGACTAGCTCTTGTAGACCAGGCTGGCCTCGAACTCACAGAGATCTTCCTGCCTCTGCCTCCTGAGTGCTGGGATTAAAGCTGTGCGCCAGCACAGCCCCGTTTATACGTGTATAATCTGTGTGTGGATGTGTGCACCTGGGTGCAATGCTTGAGGAGACCAGCAGGGGGCATTGAATCCTCTGGAATTAGAGTTGCAGACCCTTGCCTAGGAGTACTAAACTAAACTTGGGTCATTTGCAAGAGCAGTAAGCACTCTTAACCACCATGCCATCTTTCCTGCTTCAGCATGTATCTCTTGGTCATATTCTCCCTGGATTTTCCTTCTTTCTTTCTTTGGTTGTTTTCTCTTTCTTCCTTCCTTTCTTTCTTTTCTCTTTCTTTCTTTCTTCCTTTCTTTCTTTTGAGACAGGATTTTATTCTATAGCCCATGATGGCCCTGAACTCACTGTGTACCCAAGGCTGACCTCAAATTTGATGTTATCCTTCTGATTTAGGCTACGAATTACTAGGGTTGAACACATGTGCCACTTCACCTGGATTAGAGTGTATGTGAGTGTGTGTGTGTGTGGGGGGGGGTTGTATGGTGAGTGTGACGGTAATGCTGGTATCACACCAAGTTGTTCAGGAGTGCAAGGCAAGCACACTACCACTGGCCTGCACCACCCCCCCAGTGCTTTTAAAGCTTTTCCAAAATGGGGCTCAGAGTCTCCACTGTCTGTGTGATTCTGTCCAGTCATTCTCATTATTCTATTGTCTTTTCTGACCATGTCCCTTATGCACTCAGCTGCATGTATGACACATAAACTATTTTCATTCTCAAGACTTAGGTAAGATCAGAAAATGGTTTGAATGAAAAAAAAAAATGCCCATCCTCAGAGAGATAGCCTTAGACATGCATGATTTTTTGGCCAATTACATAGGCTATAAAAGCTGATATTTTATACTAGTTTGCTGAGTCTATTAACAATTGCTGTTAAATCAGTTATCTACCAGTTTCCATAAAACACCTCAATATCTCCTGCTAACACTATGGCCATTTCTCATGATTTTTGTAGGTGTGAACCACTATGGTTTTGTGGCTCAGCTGGGCAGCCACTGTCTGTTCCGAGCCCATTAATGCTGTTCCCTCCTTGCTCACATGTATCTGTTGCCCAGCCTCACCTCAAGTCTGGGACCTTTCTCTGACAAGATGAGTCTCATTATCAAGTCTTTTTTCCCCCCACAAAACTTGTGTGGCCAGATGACCAGTGAGTGATAAGGCCTCTCACAACCTTAAAGATCACATATAAACATGTTCTTGCATTTTGTTGGCCGGGAAGTTTCCCACTCCATCTAGAGGCCAGAGGTGAGGAAGCCGCTTCACTTGTCATGAGGAGAGTCACCAAAACTGGTGCCCACTGCTGGTCCTACATCACAATTTGGCACTCCTAGGCCTTCTCTGTATTATTGTTATTGTTATTATTCATGTTGGCGGGGGCTTTGCCTGTATGTCTATGTACTACACTCTTGCAATACCCATGAGGGCCAGAGGGGGGCATCCAAGCACCATGTCCCCTTGAACTGGAGTTACAAATGGTTGTGAGCTACCCTGTGGGTGCTAGGAATTGGACCCAGGTCCTCTGCAAGAGTAGCTAGTGTGCTCAACTGCTGAGTCATCTCTCCAGCCCCTTTTCCTCTCTGTCTTTTCCAAAGCTATGTGGATAGCTCTATTGGTAGAGTGCTTGTCTAACATGCAGGAAGGCCTGGGTTTGGTCCCAGCATAAACTAGGTATGGTGGTGTATGGCTATAGTCTTAGGCTTGAGAGAGAGTCAGGAGGATCAGAAGTTCAAGGATCCTCAGCTACATAACAAGTTTGAAGCCAACGTGGGCTATTATAGGCGACACTATCTCATTTGCTACACATGAGAAACAAAATAGAAACAAATGAGAGACAGGGGAAAAAAAAAAACACTCTACAAACATATATATCTACTTTTAGAACTGTTGCAGTTTTCTGAGGTATAGTTGACAAATCCAACTGGCACATACAGAAAAAACAACAGGACGGCAAGACGTATGTGTGTGTTTCCTATTTCCAGGGACATATGCTCATACCTACCATGCATCTGTGAATTCTTGAGTATGCTCATCCGTAAGCCATTTTTCTAGCTGGTATCAAGGAAATCATACTTCTTTCAAGTGAACCGTGACTGAGTCCTCCCTGGGACTGCTGACTCCAATCACTAGTGACTGGGTCAGCTCTCCCAGGCTCCATCCCTCCTCCTCTATGGCAGAGACCTTGCATTTCACAGGCAGAGTGACTCGGGCTAACCTAGGCTTGGGGAAGCTAATGTGTGACAAGGCAGGGGACAGGCACGGCGGGTAGGAAGGCCAATGTGTGTGGGGACCTCTGGTCTGCATGCCATAGCCGTGTCACTGCTGCTGCATAACTTAGCTGTATCCCCAACTCCGACTGAAGTGTCCCCCACTCCTATGTTACAGAGATTGACCAGAATGCAGACAACCTGTATGTGTTCCTTATAATATGTGGACTCAGGCCGGTGAAGGACCCTCTGTACTTGGTAGACGCATTCTCAGGTATGTGGCCCAGTGTCTCCCTTCCTTGTCGTGTGGATTTGTGAATAGAGATGTTCCTCACTTGGTCTTGTGTTCTTATTGGATAGCCCCCGCTGGCCACGAATACCCAGTCCTTCTGCTTTAGATTCCCAAGTGCTGGGATTACAGTGGAACCATTTCTTTCTTTTTCTTTCTTTCTTTTCGTTCTTTGTTGCTCTTTGCGCATAAGCAGAGCTATTTCTAGATTATCACTTTGGAAACAGCCAGAAGGGTAATTTATTGGATAACTATCTCTGTGTAGACTTGCAGTTTCAGGTATGAAGGATGGCAGAGAAATTGGAAATAGTTATAAGGCTAAGAGATTTTTAAAAAATTCTATCACTTTTTTATTTTATAAAGATTCCCTTATTTTTATGTGTCTGTGTATGATGTGTGTGGTGCCTGTGGATACCAGAAGAGGGCATTGGAACTCACCCACCCTGGGAACTGGAGTTACAGGCAGTTGTGAGCCGCCATGTGGGTGCTGGGAACCAAACTCTGGTCCTCTGCAAGAGTAGCAAGCACTTTTAGCCACAGAACCATTGCTTAAGCTCCCAAAGAAACAAATCATCAAGTAAAAGCACACAGTACCACAGGAAGGCATTCTGAATAAGGGGAATCAATTTTGGTTAGCATGGATGCTCAATGACCTAAGAGCACAAAACATACTGTGGAGCAATTAGTAGTTAAGCGAATTGTTTTCCCAGCTGTGACTTGAAGCCATGTTAGGTCCATTCAAAAATCTTTTTTTCTTTTTCTTTCCAAGAATGGCATCAAGAAGAGCCCAATGTTTACATGGTGATTGTAGGTCCTGAGGTGAGTCCATGTGCTGTGGATGTCTATTTGGTGGCTGCTTTTTCCTACTGATTTTGTTTTCTTGTGTATGTATGCATGTGTTTATGTGTGTGTGCTTGTGTGTGTGTGAGTGCAGTTCTTACTGGGGCCAGCAGAGGGCAATGGATTTCCCCTGTGTGGGTGCTCAGAATGGGATTCAGGTTCTTTGTAAGAGCAGTACAAACTCTAACTGTAGAGCCATCTCTTCAGCCTCTCTTCTGTTGACTATAATGCATTTTCTAAAACTAGCTGATGTTCCTCTTCTATATATCTAGGCTTTTTTTTTTTCTCTTTAAGAAACTGAAGTAAGTTTGCCATTTTATTACATTTTGTTTATTATGTGCTGCAGGGGTGGCCATGTGTCTACAGCACACAGGCAGAGGTCAGAGAGTTTTTCTACCATATGGGTCCCAGGAATTGAACTCAGGTGTCAGGCTTGGTGGTAAGCACCTCTATTGCTGAGCTAGCTCCTCCTTGACCCATAATTTGCCTTTTCTAAAGGAAAGTATGGGCTGGAGAGGTGGCTCATCCATTAAAAGCACTGGCTATTATTCCAGAGAACCTGGGTTTGGTTCCTTGCTAACAACCATTTCTAACTTCAGTTCCAAAGTGTTCAACATTCACATATGGCTCTTCAGGCAGTGCACACATGTGATGCAATGCATCCATCCATACATACATACAAGACATGCATATATGTAAGAATGTTTTAATATATGATATTACCTGGGTCATATCTCAGTGGTAGAACACTTGTCAATCTTGTATGTGCAAGGTCCTGGATTCAGTTCCCAGAACTACGTGGATAAGAGAAGGGGGAGAAGAGGGGGAGAGAGGGAGAGAGAGAGAGAAAGCGAGAGAGAGATCAGACCAAAGTTAAAGCTAAATATTATAGTTGCTATTCACCTTTATGGCTGACTTACTATAAAGATTACAATTAAATCAAACTAATTTACTGTTGCAAAGGATAATTAGATAAGTCTTATGGGAAATTCTTATGTGGTTCCCATAAAGAGGAGCTCATTTAAAAATACATAAGCCAAACTCTATGTATGGTCCCAAGTATTTTGGAACCCTTTACTGCTTGAACTTTTGAATGCAGAACTGCTCTTTTTCTGTTTTGTTTTTTCAAGACAGGGTAGCTCTGTGTAGCTTTGCAGACCAGGTTGGCCTCGAACTCACAGAGATCCACCTGCCAATGCGTCCCAAGTGCGGGGACTAAAGGCATGCGCCACCACTGCCCAGCCAGAACTGCTCTTGAACCCAGCATCAGATAAAGCCGCTGGACTCTCTGTAGACTTTCATTTGTTCCAAGCTGTTTGGAAAACAAAGTGTACTCCATGCTCCTAGCTCAACAGGATCTTCCTGGCCATGACAACTCTGCCTTCACATGACCTCTGCTCCAGGCTTCCCACTGTGCACCTTTCCCTCCAAAATTCTCTGCTGAAATCCTGTCTTGCAGTGTGATGAGGTGAGGTCTCCGGAAGGCGACTATGGTAAGGGGATGGAGGAAGCCCTCATCAGTGTGCACAGTGCCCTTCTAGAAGAAGCCCCAGCGAGCTGTCTTGACTTTTTCATTGTGTGTGGACACACCAAGAGGCCACCACCTATGAACCAGGAAGCACACACCATGACACACTCAGCCTGATAATGCCTTGATCCTGGCTTCTAGCCTCTGCGACTCTCTGCTATGTTTGCAGGTTACCCAAGTTATAGTACGACACAACAGTAGCCTATCTGAGCTAAGACATAAACCGTCTGTGGTGTTGAGTGGAATTCTCATCTGTGCAGTATGAGCCATCTCTCCCATCATCCTTGTTTGGTTTGGCCAGATGATGGGCAAGCTGGGAGTGTTTACTCTGATAGAGAGGAAGCTAATGCATACAAGTCCATCTTGATGAACCTGTGAGGTTATTCCTGCTACTGACAGGCACATGGGTGACTCAATGGCAGCTCATTATAACACCAAAAAAAATCCCACCCAGCCTGGGTGATGATGCATCCCTGGGGCTTCCTGACAACTTACAGACAGCTCCCCTGAAGAGTCTTCTCTTCCTTAACAACTGCTTCTCTGCTTCTGTGACTTCAGGAGACCCAGGGAGTCCTGAGACTTTCTTATGTCTTTTCTAAGCCTCTCACCTCCATCCAGGAGGAAACACTTTAATTAGAAGGAAATAGATTCTCAGCAGCATTTTATCAAGGAGCTGGTCTCACTTTCACTCACTGGTTTAGAAAGTGCCCCCAACTTCTCAGAGCCTCATTCTGTTTGTCTTTTTCTAGTGCCCTGCGGACCTTCCCAGCATGCACAGCTGTTGTCTGCATTCTCACAGCCTTTGGAAATAATTGTGTTTATCTAGAATGAGGCCAGAGATGCTAATAAAGATGACCTAGAGGAGGCGGGGCTGGTAAGATGGCTCTGTGGGTAAAGGCGCTTGCTGCTAAACCCCTTGGCCCGGGGTTCAGTCCCAGGGATCCACATCATGGCAGTACAGCAACAAGTCCCAAGTGTTGTCCAATGGTACACGTGCAGCCAGATTTAACACACACACACACACACACACACACACACACACACACACACAATCAATGACTCAACATCTGTACAGCCATGTCAGAAGCCACAGTGAGAAGAGATCTCGTGTTAATCTCATGATATAATACACAATAAATATAGCATTAGAAGTACCAGTCTTCAGGAAAAAAAAAAAAGCTCAACACTTTAAAAGTTCAAAATCTCTTAACTGTGGCTTCCTATAAAATTCCAAAATAAGTTACACACTTATAATTTCAAGAGGGAAGAAGCAGGGCACTGTTAGAATAAAAGCAAAGCCAAACTCCAGCAGTGTGAGCTGTCTAGTGTCTGACATCTGGGACTCCATCATGAACCAGGCTCCAAAGGGCTCGGGCAGTCCCAGCTCTCTGGTTCTGCCTCCACAGCACACACAGCCTGTCCTGCATACTCATGTGAGCTCCATCCCACACTTGACCCTAGTGGTCACTCCATCATCTGGCATCTCCAATATCCTGGGGTTTCCCCTGAAACTAAGGTTTCACCCTCACCATTGCCAAGCCGCATTTCCTCTGCTTGAACCCTTCAGTCCCGGGTCACTACTGCAACTTCACCAGTCATCTTCTTTCTGGGATGCCTTTAGGGGCTCTAACTCTGCCCCCATGGCATCAAAACTCAGATTCTCTCCATGACCCCTTCAAGCCTGAAGCCTCCCCTACAGCAGAGGCTATAACCCCACCAATGGCCTCCTGACCTCTCTGAGGGGCTCTAGCCCTGCTTGCCAAAGGTTACTCTCTTGAGTCACTACACTTGCAAACCAGGAACACGTGGGGAATTTCCACGTCTTAGTTTGACTGACAGCTTGAGGTGTGGCCCTCTGAATCACTGCTTCTGTGTGCCAACCCCAGGGAAACACCTTCTAGAAGATTCCTCCAGAATGGTGCTGGTCTCTTAGTAACCACAGCTTACTTTTAAGTCCCAGCAAACCTGAAACAAGACTTGTAGCTTAAAATACCACATGAAGGAATGGCCCTGATAGGGTCTCTGAGCGACTCTCAAACTCCCCTTAGATACCCGTAAGAAAAGTCTCTATTGTCTACTCTGCCCTCATACGACAGCAGCCCACCAAGCCTGAGGACTCAACAGCTCCTTTCAGCCCAAAGCTCCTAAATCCTTCCATAATCCTCCCACAAGACAACCATCACAGCCAAGACCCCACTCCCTGATACTAGTTCCCACCCTAATTTGTTTTCTGTTCCTGTGATAAACACCATAACAAAAACCAACTTAGACGGGGAAAGGTTTCATTTGGCTTACAATTCACAGTTCATCACAAAAGGGGAGCCAGGGCAGGAGCTCAAACGGTACAGGAAGCCATTTTGTACTTGACTTTTGAGTATTTGCTGCCGTATTAGGGGCTCACATGCTGATGAGGTGGGTTTGCCAAGTGGCTAAGTGTCAGGACACATTACAATTCTTGTTTCAACGACTGCAGCATACATTAATACTACCCCTCCCCCACCCCCAGTTTCCTGAATCTTCCTGTCTGCGCCCCAGCATGAGTGAACTTTCTTTCTCTGTCCATTTCTGCCTTTGCTCTCCGCAGAGCTCGTGTCGCAATAAGCACTTGTGTCGCAATAAACACTTGTGGTGTAAGCGGGATGCTCAGCAGGCTTCGCTTTTCCAGGTCATGTCCCAAGCCTCTTTGCAAAATTGTGTCAACTTGGCTAGATCATGGCCCATGAAGCAGAGCCTGGCTGTTACTGGAGAGTCACTGTGGTGTTCTGCAGTGACTAGCTCTGCCTTGTAGCCCCAGTCATGCAGAAGACACTGAGTAGGCTCATTCATGTGCCTCAGCCAGCCACAAGCACCAAAAAAAACCCTCCCAGCTCAAAGCCTGCCAGAGGACAACTTACAGACTCAAGGGAGAAATCACTGGGGAATGCTGAAGTGCCTAGACATGGACATAATACACCTCCTTGTGACAAGTGTCACTCAAGGCTGAGTGCCTGGGGAGAAAGGAATCTCGCCCACCTTGCCTCTTAGACCTGGCTGACCATTCCAGGCTCAGGGCTCAGGAGGGTGTCTGGCTGACTTTCATAGGGACAGAACCATCATGAGGCCACTTATCAGACCATGTCCAGTGGGGAGGAGCGAGGATGAGCCATTGGCAGGCTGGGATGAGATGGGGGGGGGTACTGAACAGCAACAGCCACAACAAAACCTCAAACTATGTATGCACATACATTAAAGATTTATCTCATTTCTTATGCATATGTGTGTTTGACCTGTATTATGTATGTGCAGCACATGGGTGCCTGGTGCCTGCTGAGGTCTCACTGTGTTGTGAGAAAGGCTGGGTCATGTGACTGGCTGTATGGTGAAGAGTGTCATGCCCCTCATTGACTTTGGGGGACAATTACTGGCTGCTCTTGATGGAACCATGTGCTTTAGTTTCCCCATCAGCAAAACAGGAGTGACCGAGACAATAGTACCTGCCTCCCAGTTTGCTGAGTAAAAACTTGAGCAGTTCCTGCCCTTGGGGTAATGCCCTGGGCTACAGAAAGCAGAAGGGACCATTATAGCCAACATTCCCTCTGTGCTCTGACTGCCAGGATTCTGTTCTAGCTGCTGTAAGCTGTGTGTTCAGCTTGGGGTTTCCATACCTCTCCTTTGATCTCTGAGCTCCCCCATTTGAGAGAGGCACGTGTTCCTGCTCACAGGGCGTCTGGTATGATACCTTCCCCAGCTCTTTGATTAGGCGTGCTGGAGGCCAGAACGTTTGCTTTGGGCATGACAGCTTAATGACTTAGCCCAGTAACTTCTTACAGTGAAGATTATTTCCCCTAAGCCCGAGAGAGTTGAAACAATATATTTTGTTAGGAAATAAACAAGCTTGGGAGAAGGAAATGAGAATTTTTCTCCGCTGCCTTCAATGCTTTTTTTTTTCCCTTTTAAAAATTTCATTAAGGAACAACATCCACTCTTCCTTTGCTCTTTATCTTGTGTTTTGTTCCACTCGGCTTCACTAAGAGATTTGAAAATGAACTGACGTGGAAAGTAAACCTAGACAAAGCCCACACCAATTGTAGTTTCACTGTAAGACTTGATTTTCGCTCCTTAGCTACAGTCCAGCTTTGCATTCAGCCATCTCAGAACACAGACTTGTTTCCTTGACAAATTATCTTTCCCCCAATAGCTCATCATGAGAGTCAAAGCATGCTAATAAAGACAGAAAGAAGAGGGTCAGGCTGAAGTAACTAACCCCTCTTCCGATGCTAACATGAAAGTTAATGTGTAGAATGAAAGGCTTTCAGTTTTTTGTTATTTTTATTTGTGTGTGTGTGTGTTTGTGTTTGTGTACATGGCATGATTTATGTGTCTAGAAGTCAAAGGACAACTTTCGGGGTGGGGTTGCCCCAGGGATCAAGCTGAAGTCATTGTGCTTGGTGGCAAGCACATCTGCCCATTGAGCCATCTGGCCAGCCTGGAAGGAGGGTTTCTTTTTACTTTGCAATATGCTAGGGTTGTAATAGGATCTAGTTGCTTAGGATAATTGGAGCATGTGGCCCGGGAATTGGGAAGGGGGAAGGGAGTTCTCATGCAAAGGACTATGTTCTAGTCACTGGGTGGGATACAGGGAAGAAGACAGAGTTGCAGAGGAAAGAGAGGCAGAGCTATCATAGACAGTGACCCTGGGTGGCAGGGAGCAGGATAGTTGGGGAGGAGGTGGTGTTTCTAGCCAGGGCAGTCACGGGGAGTAAAAGCGTTTCAGAGATATGGCACCAGCTACATCCTGGAGAATGACTCCAGGAGACTGGGACACAGGCTGGCCAGAGGGGGAATAGTGAGGAAGGTGGCAGGTATTTCATAGACCTTTACAGTGTGTGTGTGTGTGTGTGTGTGTGTGTGTGTGTGTGTCTGTGCGTGCGCGCGCACGCATGTGCATGCATGAATTATTGCATACCCTGTAGAGAACTATCCACCTTTTTGTTGTTTTAAGATAGAATCTTTCATTGTTCTGGGGCTTATAGATCTGGTTAGGCAGACTCCAGGAAGGGTCAGGTATCCTCTGCTCCCCAACCCAAGCTAGAATTATGAGCATGCACTATATATAACACCGTCTCTCCAGCCCTGGCACTTGGCTTTTTAAAAATTATTTTTAAATGTTCACTTATTTTTATTGTATATGAATTGGTGTTTTGCCTGCCTGCATGTCTGTGTGAAGCTGTGGGATCCCCCTGGAACTGGAACTATAGACAGTTGTGAATTGCCATGTGGGTGCTGGGAATTGAACCTAGGTCCTTTGAGAGAGCAGCCAGTACACTTAACCACTAATCCATCTCTCTAGGCCTGACATCTGGCTTTTTAAAGTGTGGGTCCTGGGGATTGAACTGAGGGCTTCATGGCCTCACTTAACCAACTGAGCCATTTCTCCAGCCGCTGTCCCTCAAACTTTCTAGGAGTCATGTGATGAAATCAAGCAGAACCAAAGAGGGAGCTTGGCTTCCAGTCTGTCCAGATTGAAACATTGGCCACAGAGTTCTCCTGCTCTGGGGCTCTGATGAAGTTACACAACCCCCTCTCATTCCCCCTAGTGGAAGTGTTGGGTAATAACATTGTTGAAAACTGAGCTAATGACTGTAAAAGGCTTAGCACATGTTCTTCTGGCTTAAGTAGCTACAGGGTAGTAATTATTAAGAGCTGAAACAGCAGCAATTTGTTGTTCATAACTATGAACCTCTCTCTCTGCACAGATCTTCCTAGAAATTATTGCAAATTCGTATGCATTCATGTGTGATATAATGTAGCCCTTCAGATTCCCAGCCACGTAGTGGCCCTGGGAATATCAGTAAGCCTAACACCACCAGGCCTTCGGGATCTTGGGCAGGCATCTGAGCTGTCAAGATGCACCTTTCAGCACTTACTCTCAGCACAAGTGAAACTGAGTTTCTACAAGACGGCATTATATCACCTGCCATTATAAGCTAGCTGTTCCGGCATTCGCTTTCAGCCAGCCAGCATGCTTGTAATTCATGATGGCTATTGGCAACGTGTAAATGAGAACAGGAATTGGATTCGCTTTCCTCGCAGCATGGCTGGAGCCAGTGTCAGGAGGGGCTGCTGGCACCCTGCATTCATGAGCTGGGTTCATACCCTTACTGTGTCTTTGAGGCAATGTCTAGGATTTGTGAAAATCATTAAAAATGTATTTTTACTTATGTGTTGCAATCAGATGCCATTGAGCCATCTCTCTACCTAAAGTAAGTCTTTTTTTTTTTTTTGAGACTGGATCTCATTACCTAGCTCTGGATGACTCACTATGTAGACCAGGCTTACTTCTGCCTCACAAGAGGTCCACTTGCCTTTGCCTCCCAAGTATTGGAATTAAAGGCAAGTGTCACCATTCCTGGCCCCTAATTTTTAAAATTATATTTATTCGAATATTTATTTTGGAGGAGGCATATGAGCCATCATGCATGTGGGTCCTGGAGGTCCACCTCAGGTCAGGTTTGATGGCAAGCATCTTGACCTTCTGAGCCATCTTCCTCTTGCTGACTCTAGAATTCTGTGTTGAAGAAAGCTTTTTCGATTGTTTTAAAATTGTATTCACTGTTGGTAATAGCAGTCAGGCAGGAGACACTGAGGAACCAATCTGTCTGTTGCAGTTTGTCAGATGTCTCAGTGAGGAGTTTGTGGGGAGTTTAAACAAGCTTGTTGAGTGACTCTTCAGCTTCGCAGAAGCAAACTGACCTTGAACTCGCTAGGTATGTAGCCAAATACAACCTTGAACTTCTGATCCTCCTGCCTCCAGCCCTGAGAGATGTATCACAGGTGTGCACCACCGTGCCTGCCCTAGCATACGGTTTTCTGAATTTATGTTGCTAACATAATTTAGGCCTTTCTCTTTGTGTTTGAATAATACTCATGTGGATTTTTTTTTTTTTTTGTTATTCTTCAGCTGAGGGGGTGTGTCCTTGATCTGAAAACTGTATTTCTGAGAAGGCTCCCCATTAAAAACAAACTTTAATTCCATGAACTGGCTTCCCACCCATCCTCTTGATTGCTTTTATGACAGATTCCATCTGCATCATTTAAGAAAGCAAGGCTTCCCCTGTAGGATTGGGCAGTTAAATTGTCCTGTCTGTAGGCACACTCCCCTGTCCTTTGAAGCCGGGAGATTTTCCTGGGCCCAACTGTCATTGATGGTGGCACACACAATCCACATGCCCCCTGTTCTTTCCTGTTCGTGTCTTTGTTGTATAACCACTAGACTTGGGCTGTTCCTCTGTTTTGTTTTGTTTTTTTTTCTTGTATTCTTCCTTTCTGAACTGCTGGGTGGGGTTTGAGCCTGTTATGACTCCTGCTCTGGAGACTTAGATTTAGGTCAGGCTCACCCTAGCCCCAGGCAGGGTCTTTCAAACAACCCAGACTGTCCTGGAACTTGCCCTGTAGCAGAAGATGAACCCTGATCCTTCTGCCTTCAACCCAGAGTTGAGAAAGTTGCAGGCTTTCATCATCACACGTGATTTATGTGATTTATGCAGGGCTGGGGATTGAACCCAGGGCTTTGTGCATACAAGTTAGTATCTACCAGCTGGCCCCCACTTACAGGGTTGGGATTAAAAAAATTAGTGTGTGTGTGTGTGTGTGTGTACATACCATGGTGCATGAGTGGAAAGGAGAAGGGAACTTCGGGGAGTCTGTTATCACCTTCAGCTATGTGGGTTTCTGGATCAAATCCAGGTCCTCGGGCTTCTACAAGGACCTCCACCTGCTAAGCCATGTGCCAGCTCTGTCCTCAGAGTTTTAAGTTTTTTTTCCCCATCTTTTTTCCAGGTGGATCCAGTGTTTACAAGGGAAGTGAAAGACCGAGTGAGGAGGTAGGTGGCATCTACAGACAGGTGGTGCCTTGCATGCATGGACTCCTGGGTGGCAGAAGGGTTTATGAGTTCCACCTTGCCCATCGCAGGCTGTGCTCTAAGCAGGTCGCAAGTGCTACACCCTTTAATGTTCCCTATGCTCCCTCAAGGTCATGCTTTGGACTCAGAGGTACAGGCAAATAAATGAATGCCCTCGAAGTATAAGATTCCCCACCTCCCTAGTCACCTGTGGGAAGGCCAGATCAAACTTTGTCTCACTGCATATCCCAGGCTGGACTGGAATCAGAAGCCTCCTGTATGATGGGATTCTAGGCCTCCATGCCTGGTTTAGTGAAGGCCACTTGAAGATAGTAAGTTTTACTGATGGTACCAGAAAAAAAAAAAAAAAAAAAAAAAAGCCAAAAAACCCCAAAACCAAACCAAAACAAAAAACTTAAAATAACAAAGTTTTGGGGACTGGAGAGATGATGGCTCAGTTGGTTGCTCTTGTAGAGGACCCAGGTTCAGTTCCCAACACCCACATGGATGCTCACAATCACCTAGAATTTCAGTTCCTGAGGATCTGATGTCCCCTTCTGGCCTCTGTGTATATTGCTGCCACATGGTGCAGGCAAAACACAAATACATTAAAAAAAAAAAAAAAAAAAAAAAAAGAAAAGAAAGAAATCTTAACCAGGATTTGGAAGAATGTAGGAGCTAACTTGTACTGAATTGACTTGTATAGTCTCTTTGGAGATAATTGATCAATGTTGTTGACAGAAGTTTCTTTCCCGCCTGGTCCTGTAGCCATTCAGTCCCAAATAAACACACAGAGACTTATATTAATATTATAATATTATTTATAAATTAATATATATTATATATTAGTATATAATATTAAATATATTAAACATATAAATATATTAAATAATTAAATAAAATAATATATATAATATTACTTATAACTGTTTGGCTGATGACTCAGGCTTCTTATTGGCTAGCTCTCTCTTAATTATTAACCCATTCCTATTATTCTGTGTACCTCCATGTGGTCTTGGCTTACTGGTGATGCCCTGGTCTCTTCCTTCCTTGGCAGCTACATGGCATGGCATCTCAAGACTTACTGAGTTCCTCTTCCCACAATTCTTCTAGTCTGGTAGCCCCAACTATACTCTTACCTGGTTATATCCTGCCTGTCCATTGGCCAAAACAGCTTTATCCCTCAACCAATGAGAGAAACATCTATTCACAGCATACAGAAGGATATCTCCCATTACAGCGTATCTGTTTGAATTGCATTTTTTTCCCCTGCCAGGAACAAGGGACCCAGCTTCACTGGCTGCACAAGCTGAGTCTCCATTGTTCACATAAAATATGAGTGGGACTATGAGACAGGCTAAAACAACCATGCTGTCCCTGCTGCGTTCTTTCAGGGCTGCAGGGGTGCGGCTGATCCGGGAGATGTGCCAGGAAGATCTGCATGCAGTGGTGAAGAACTGTTTTGCCCTAGTCAACAGTTCAGTCTCTGAGGGCATGTCAGCCGCCATCCTGGAGGTAAGTGCAGCTCGGGTGCTGAGGATGGGGTGCTGGATCATCCTTTCCCTTCTGGGTTTTTGCCTTTTTTCCAAAGATTTATTTAAGGATTTTTAAGTTATGTTGTATGCACATGTGTCTGTGAGGGAGTGTGTGTTGCAAGTGAGTGCAGTTGCTGGTGAAGACGGGAAGCTCCAGATACCCTGGAGCTGGAGCTGCAGGTGGTTGTAAGCCACCCCACATGAGTGTGAATTTGCATCCTCTGCTCTGAAAGTACATGGCACCACTTTATGTCATCTCTGTGTTTGGCCAAGAAGCCAGCTCTCTCCCTGTGCTCTGTGTCAGCCTCAGTTGTGTACTCAGCCCCAGCCACTGGGGGCAGTCTGTCCCTTCAGCAACTAACTTTGAAATCAGTGTAGAGCAGGCGCCCAATTGCTCTTCTGTATGTAAATACACGGGTTTTGCTTTTTTGTTTGTTTATTTGCTTCCTTCCTGTTTCTTAAGAAGAGGCCATGAGCCTGGCATCTGCTGAGTGATTCTCTAAGCAGCGCACCCTGCTTTCTCTGCGGAGGAACTGCTCTCAGCCTTGGCTTGCCTCTCAAGAGAGAAGGCAGCTTGCAGCAATCCGGATGCCCTCAAAATGTTGATGTGGCGTTCCTTTGAGAAATCAAAATAACATTTGGGCAAAGGACTCTGAATGAAGTTGATTTTTAAGGGGAGGGATAAGCGTGAGTCTTCACTGCAGATGGCCAGGGCAGCTAACCACAGAGCACATGCCCATCACTGGTCAGTGGGATGACCTTTTGGCCTTTCTGGATGTGCTTTCCTGTGCAGGCAAGTACAAATGCCCACTGGCTAAAAATATGCTTTTCCCTGAAAACTCCTCAAAAGCAAATCTCGGCCGGATGCACAGCAACTGGGTGGTTATTGCTAAAAGCCTGTCAGGCATTTCCCACTTAAGTATATTGTGGGTTTGAGCCCTGAGTAGAATTACCTTAAAGGAGGGGGATGGGGAGTAAATTGTTTGCTTCCTCCCTTCCCCGCTTCTCTCCCTCCTCCTGCCCTCCCCCCTCCACACACCGACAGCAAAATGGCACAAGGGTTTTGTAACGCTCTTACAGGGTCCTTCAAGGTTCTCCAGTCAGTAGAGCGGGTGCTGCTTGCTAAGGCGGATCCCCAGGACCCCAGGAAAAGCCGGGCATGATTGCTTGTGAGCATTATCCCAAGGCTGGGGACGGTGGAGAGGGGACACTCAGCCCAATAGAATCTGAGCTCTAGGCCAATGAGAAGCCCTGTCTCAAAAAAGATAAGGTAGACAGTTTCTGAGGAAGGCCACTTCAAGTTTTCCTCTTGTCTTGTACACATCCACATGTATCCCTCCTCACACAAAAGTGTCTTCATATCCCAGCCTTCCTGCTTGGAGCACCAACATAGGTGCAGTCACACACAGACATACACCATACTTTTTGGGTCAGGTTTTGCCTCCCACCCCTCCAGGTGAAAGGAAGGCTATGCTGTAAAGCTAAGAGCAAGAAGAGAATGCTTGACCTTAGCGAGTAGTGCCAGCGCTACTGATTGGAGAACCTTGAAAGACCTTGTAAGAGCAGAGTGTTTCAAAACACTTGTGCCATTTTAGTGTCCGAGTGTGTGTGAGAGGAGTGGGGGAGGAAGGGAGGGAAGGAGAAAGGAAGAGAGGGAGATGGGGAGGGAGGGGGAGAGAGAGAGAGAATTTTAAGTGGGTACATGGTACAGGACTATCATTTATTCTTTTTGAAAAGCAAAGCTATTTTCAAATGTCAGAACTAGAAAGATGTGCTAAGGGCATTTATTTGGGATGTGGATGCTGCAGGAGATGAGGAATTTTACAAGGGGCTGTGCAGTCTTTGGTAAAGAAGAACCATACCATTATCCACTGGCCAACACCCATCACAAACACCCTCTGCTCAGTTCTATGCATCCATATGAACATCCTCAGACCAACTCATTTCCACACACTAGCCGTGGTCATTCAAAATGGTCACTCATGCCACCAAAATCTAAGTAAAACAAACCCCTCTTTGAAAAAATATGCACGGGGCAACGTTTAGCCTCAGATGTGACCCAGGACTAACAGGAAGCTTCATTAGCCACACATGCAGGTGAGCTATGCATCCTCAAAGCCTGGGTGTTCTTTGTTTTGGGGAGCTGAGTTCCTCTTGACTTCTCAGCCATGAAAAATAAAGACTGTTTCTATAAACCCTAGGCAGCTCTGATAAAAGTGTGTGTGTGGGGGGTGGTTATAGGGTCTTAGAGAGCCATATAGGGAGGTTCTGCCTACCCTGCAAGAGGAGGTTGAGCTAGTCTAGGAAGACCAAGTGGGCCTGTTTATGGAAGGGGGCTGTGTGTCTTGTGTTCTGACATTTTGTGTGTCTATCCCTCGAGCCAAGCTCACCCCCTCCTCCGTCTTTCCCTGTTCATTCCTGGGATTTGCCCTGAATGTGAGCATGCCTATTTCCAAACACAGTCTAGTGCATGACTTTTCCAGCCGCAATGCTACCGGGACCAGCTTCTCTGTGTGTTCGTATTCTCAGAGCTCGTCTATGCTTAGAATTTGCCATTTTTTTAAAAGATAGATTTATTTTTATTTTTAATTATGTACATTCATGTGTGTCTGTGTGGGGATATGTGCACATGTGTGGGAGTGGCCATGGTGGCCTGAAGAGGATGTTGGATCCCCTGGATCTTGAGTCACAGGTGATTGTGAGCTGTCCAGCTTGGGTGGTGGGAACTAAACTTTGATCTGTAAGAGCAGCAAGCACACTTAACCCCTGAGCCATCTCTTCAGTCCCATCCACCTTAGTTTTCTGAGACAGTCTGACAATTAGGCTAGACTGGCTGGCCAGCAAGCTCCAGGAATCCTTGTCTTGCCAGCACCCAGCCTCATACTCAGTATTGAGATTACAGATGTGCACCACCATGCCTGGTTATGTTTTTGTTTCTAACATGAACCCTAGGGCCCTCATGCTTGCAGCGTGAATACTTTACCACCTTAGCCATCTCCCGGCCACCTTGTCTGACTCCTAAATGACACCGCACATCTTCTCTCCTCCCACCTTCACAGGCAATGGATTTGGAAGTTCCTGTGCTGGCTAGGAACATCCCTGGGAACTCGGCTGTGGTGGAGCATGGAGTCACAGGACTACTGTTTTCAGACCCTCAGGTAAAGAGGGTCCTTTCCCCATGTTTGCTTCATTGGTGTGATTTCTGTCTGTTTGTATGAAGAAGGGCTGGCTGTAAATTTAGGTTCCTTGTAAGCCTCTCAGCTCTTGCTGGAAGTAGAGCTGTCCATCAAGCTATGTGGTTTCTGTTCTCACCCCGGAAGGATGTGCAGCCTTAAGAAATCCAGGATACTTCCAACCTGAGGATTTTAGCTCAGTTGGTTGAGTGGCTTGCTTGGCATGCATAAAGCAGGCCTGGTAGTACACACCTGTCAGAGATCATTCAGGAGGTAGAAGTAGGAGGATCAGAAGTTCCTCTGCTATATAGCTAGTTCGAGACCAGCCTGAGCTACATGATACCTTGTCTAACAAAACATAACTAACCTCACGTAAACAGACAAACAAAATAAATGCACAGGTGTTCTCTTAAGTAGTTGTCTGGGGCAGGATGAAGCAGAAGAAAAGGACCTCTAGCCTCCTGGTGCCTTGTGATGCTATGTGCATTCTGGGGCTTGGGTGCACAGTTCCCTGCCTCTCTCGTGTTCAGGTCCTCTCAGGTCAGCACCTATGAGTTATAGATACAGCCCTACCCCCACACCCCCACTACAGAACTTACTTGCAGATGTGTTTCAACTCGGCGTCTCCACATTGGCTTTACCAAGGGTGTTTTGAACAGCAGGCCTTCCTGGTTCTGTGCCGGGAGAGTTGTGATTCTTCACACTCTGAAACGGTGCGCGAGACGGATATTGCACGTACTTTGTTGTCCTCATCATCTCCATCAGACTTTGCCCAGTACATGGCAGGATACGTTGCTTTAAAAACAAATAATACAAAATTTAAGGAACTCCAGGCTGGCATTGTATTCATCTCAACTGCCTCGGAACTCAGACTTTAACCACTCATCAGTTGGCTGCAGGGAGGGCAATAGTAATTTCAAATCTGCACTCAAGTATGTAGGAGAATCAGCATTGCATTTATTAAGAAGAAGGATCCTGTCAGAACACTGGCTTTGGGAGTTAAAATATGTGTATGAAATGCACAGGACATACATAATGTGTAAGCACAAATGCTTTTTGAATCCAAGCTAAATGTAATTACTCATTCAGCATTAGCTGTTGTTCCTTAATTGAGAACATAAAGAAATCTGATCTCCCCATATAGGGCTGGCAATAAAAGGCTGAAGAGTTCAGAGAGATTGGGAAGGCAGGGCCACGTAAGGGGCTGGGGTACATGGTCAGGAACCTTGGGCAGAGTCTGGGAGCTCACTCAGAGTGGGTCCAATGGACAGGCAGCAGAAGAAAAGGGCCTTGGTTTTGTGGAACATAAAAATTGAATTTGGCCAGGCACCATGTAAGCTTGAGGGAGGAGGAGAGCAAGGAAAACACATGGACCATGCAGCATAGCTGGGTGTGGAGCTAGAAGAACGTGGCTGAACTGACATCTAGAAAGAGGATGGCTTTAGATGCCGGGATGTGGCTGGAATGGATTCCCAGCCTGGAATGCATGAGCCTCTGGGTTTAGGCACCAATATTGTGTGGAACTGGACTTGGCAGCATTTGGGAGAATCAGAAGTTCATCCTTGGTGACAGCTGTGTGGATCAGGGTGCTCAGCCATTGGTTCTATTTGTGGCTGCCTTTCTGTCTCCAACCTTCTTCTCCCCACTCCCTTTAGAGTACCCCACCCCCTCAGAGTGATTTCTGCCACAAAGTGGAGATCTGGTGCTCACTTTGAGGATGTGGGCCTCTGCATTATGTGGTTTTCTAGCATCTGAGATAGCACCTGCCCCTAAGCCCTAAGTTCCTTGACAATGAATAGTAAAAGTCAGCACCCCCCACCCCAACCCTTGTGACAGCTACTTGCAGGAGCATAGAGAGGAATCTGAAAGGAAATGGCTATATTAGTTTGTTTTCTATTGCTGTGGTAAATGCCATGACCAAAGGCAACTTGGGAAGAAAAAGGTTTTATGTGGTTTATCTGTCCTGGTCACAGACCATCACTGAGGGAATTCTGGGCAGTAATTCAAGCAGGAGCAGAAACAGGAACCACAGAGGAGCACTGCTTACTGGCTTACTCGCCATGGCTTGCTCAGCCTGCGTTCCCTCCCTCCTTCCCTCCTTCCCTCCCTCCCTCCCTACCTCTCTCCCTCTCTCTTCCTCTCCCTCTCTCTACCCCTCCCTCTCTCCCTCCTTTCTTTTTCCTCCTTCTCTTCCTTCTTTTTTTCTGACAGGGTTTCTCTATTGGCCAGACTGACCTCAAACTCACAGATCCACCTGCTTCTGCCTCCCGAATGCTGGGATTAAAGATGTGCATCACCACCACCTGGACACCAGTCTGCTTTCTCATACAACCAGGTATCACCTTGCCCACAGTGGGCTGAGCCTTCCCACATCAGTCAACACTCAGGAAAATTCTTAGACATACCCACAGGCCAATTGATTGGAGAAAATTCCTCAATTAAAGTTCCCTCTATCCAGGTGACGGGGCTTTTGCTTTGGGAACCTTATAAAGAAAGCCTAGTGGATCATCTATATTTATCTGTCTGTGTCTATCTCTATATCTATATTGATATCTTCAACTATTTACATCTATCTCTATATCTATCTCTATAGATACCTTCAACGATTTATACCTATGTCTATCTATATCTAATATATCTTTTTACATGTATATCTATTATCTATATGTATAGATTGACATATATGTATGTCTCTATCTCTATGTATCTATATCTAATATCTATATCTCCATCTGTATCTGTTTTTTTATCTAAAAGGTTGATGACTAAACATATTTCATGGTTGTAGGCACAGAATATTCTCTGTTTTTGTATACTTCACCTCTGGAAAATTTCAATTAAACGAAGCTTTACAAACCCGCTCAGCATTGATTTCTCATTACCTCAACAATCTGGTTATTTCTTCATTTAACAAAGAATGAGTCTAGTGACTTTCTTGGGTGTTTTTATAGCTTAGTTTTATAGCTTCAAAATTAAGATCCAAATGACATTTAATAGAAACTATGAATTCATATTCAAGGGAGGCTCAATCTTATCCTATAGGAAGCTTTCTATTTGTTCTTTAGACAACTGTAGAGAAATAAACTTTGGAATATTAATGGGAGCAGTGGCTAATGTTTATAAAGGGCAAGTTTTATTCCATCTCCTATCCCTAGTGATCAACATGATTTCTTTTCTTTTCTTTTTTCCTTTCCTTTTCTTTTCTTTCAAGACAGGGTTTCTCTCTGTAGCCCTGGCTGTCCTAGAACTCAGTCTTTAGACCAGGCTGGCCTTGAACTCAGAGATCTGCCTGCTTCTACCTCCCAAGGGCTGGGATTAAAGGTGAGCACCACCACTGCCTGGCCAGCTTATGTTTCCTTAAACACTTACTTTCTTTTTGATACAATGCTCACGTAGCCCAGGCTGTTCTCAAATTCTCTATATAGCTATTGTGACTTTGAATGCCTGATACTCCTGCTCATCCCATCCCCATCTCCCCAGTACAGAGATTATAGACAGCCATCACCATGCTGAGTGTATGAAGTACTGGGGATCAGATTCAGGGCTCAAAGTAGGCATTCCACTGAGCTACATCCCCATTTCAAGGCTATGTCTTTCTTAAAGACAATGCCTTTTTCTTTAAGCAGAAAGGACTTTGTGTCTGGGGAGTTTGTCCAGGCTGGGAGGAGGTGGTGCTCAGGGGGCCTTGTTCCCATTTGAAATACACCATGACTTGTAGGCACTTTCTGTTGCATGTTTCTCCTTCATCCAGAAGATGGAGGTAAGACTCTCTGGAAGTAGAAAATGCTGTACCAAGTGTTTTGAAGATTTTGAATAATCAAGTCTAGAAAGTATCAGTTTTCAAATTTAAATTTAGAGCCAGCAAGATCACTTAACAGTTTTAAAAAGGCACTTAGCACTAAGCCTGAAGATTTGAGTATTATCCCTGGGACATTAATAGTGGGAGAAGAGAACTGACCTGACCTGCAAGTTGTCCTCTGACTTCTACATGCATGATAATAATAATAATAATAATAATAATAATAATAATAATAATAATAATAATAATAGGTATACAAAAATAAATAGAAGTAAGTTAAATAGTCACTAAACATCCAGTTCCAAGTTTCTGTGCATTCAGAAGCTCAGAGATCCCAGCAGGAGTAGGCCAAGGCTCCAGTGTTGGACAGAGGGCCCCTAGGCAGGAAAGAGCCTTGACAAGCTGAGTTTGTCAGAGTTCAGCTCAGCCTCTATGTATGTATGGTGCACAGGCAGGGTTAGCTCTGTGGGTCAAGACAGTTACACCTACCATGAGAGGGTTGAGAGAGTGAGTCTTTGTCCCAGTGACCGAGGTCGTGCAAAGAGCCCAGCCCAGGTGAAAGATGCAGAAATGATTGTACACATATACACACCCACGCATACCATTACAGTCACTGCACCCCGAAGAAATGCTGGTAGTTGCTCTCCCCTCCCTCTTTCTCTGTGACTCTGTCCTCCCTCCTTCTCTCTCCCTTCCCCCCTCCCTTCTGCTTTCCTTGAGGAATTCTGGCACTTTCCCACCTAGCAGTCTCCCACAGTGGATTCCTTCAGCCCTTCCTTATCCCAGGTTCATCAGGAGTAGGTACCTCTCCTGTCTGATGCCACCCCTGGCCTTTGCTGGAGGCAAAGGGAAACCCGTGGTGACCCATGGAACCTGGTCTTGATGAGCGTGGCTGGATGGAAAGAGCCACCAGATGGGGCTCATGCCTCAGGAAAATGGAAGCTGCACGTGGGGTTAACTCAGGCCTGGACCTTAGCATCACCTGTGCTTGGTGCAGGCCTAGGTAGTAGGGCCTTGGGGCAACATCAGGAGAATCCTGCTAGTCAAGAATCCCCCCAAAGTATGAGGGAACAGGGATGCATGGTTTCTCCAGAGAGTTCCATGATGTCCCCACCATCCAGGTTTCTGCACAGTCACCTGCTAACGTGCAAAGCTTGCCTCTGTGTTGTTGCCAAACCAAAGATGAGTTGGACAGGAACCTGCAACCTGGGGAAAGGGGCCAGTTGTGGTCCAAAGGGATGGTTCCTTTCGTCACTCAGTCTGCCTATATCCTGTGAGGGCTTAACCAATCCTGCTGCAGGATCCCTCACCAGGCACAGAGGTGGGTGGCAGATATAATGACATCCCTGAATAGGAGCAGAACAGTACTGCTCTGTGGGAGTTCACTGGAAAGAAGGTGTTGGCTGGTACCCTGGAAGCCAGCAGGTATCCATTGGAGGATGCTCTTGGACTGTCAAGGGCAGGGTAATACAAGAGGGGAAGGTGGGAGCTGCAAGCAGGCTCAGTCACCTGCTTGGTGCCTCTGCTTGTATTTCTCACTGTCCCCACTTCCTTGGGCTTTGTCTCCACTGTGTCCCATCTCTGCCAGGCAGCACTTGGTCCTACCTGGGCTATTCATTTCAGCAGTCATTCCATTGCAGCATCTTTCCTGGCCTTGGGCTGCCATTTGAAATAATGAAAATTCAGTTCCACCCACCGTGTCTGAGAATCCTTTGTGCTTCCCATAAAGGGAGTGATGCACGTGCTAGGCCAGGCTTGGGGCCCTGCATAGTGCCCACCATGCCCTCCTCTGTCCCCAGTGCAGGAGTTGGTCTCTGAGCAGAGTGTCATTCCCATGCTAGCTCCTTTGTTGCAGAACTCTTCTTAGTCCAGGGAACCACAGGGTTCCCACCATAGCACCAGTTCTGCAGTTTTAATTTCTTCTGGCAATCATCTGTAAACGAGCCAGCTGCCTCCTCATCAGCCCCATGTTCCTGGAGGGCAGGGCCAGAGACGGAGGAGTCCTTTTTATCTCAAAGCCTGCCCCCAGTAATCTACATTCTTCAGCAAGGCTACATCACCTAAACCTCCCCAAACAGCATCACTAACTGGGGACCAAGCCTTCAAATGTCTAAGACTATGCACAGGACATTTCTCATTCAAGCCACCACACCCGCATAAGACCCGAAGATCAAGCCAATCAAAGCTCCCACAAAAATTGGGTAGGGGGTTCCAAGAGTGCAGCTCTAGCTGAGAATCTATTGGCAGTTGATGGCTATGGGGGAGGGAGAGTCATTCTTCTTAGGAGCATGTGGCTACTGGTAGGTTGCTTATAGCCCAGAGATGTCCAAATCATCTGCTACTAATTTCAGTGAGTTTTTTTTTAAAAGGGAGATAACGCTAAAATGATGTGTTGGGGGACTATGGGGTGGGGGGGGAGAGTAGATAGGATTGAGATACTTTGTATAAAAATACAAAATGTTCAAAGAATTAAAATGTTATTTTATTTCTTTAAAGAAAGAAAGGATATAGTCTCCACCAGCAATTGAGTAAACTGCAAACAATTGCTTATCTGAAGACAAACAATGCTTGCCTATACCACTTAAAAAACAACTCATACAGGTGTCTGAGCCAGGCTCTGCAGTCTGCAAACCTGGAGGCAGCTCTGGTCTGCACCTTCCTTTTATTTTGTTGGCTGTGTCCTTTGTATTTCTGAGTGACTTCCTGAGTGTGCCACTACTGGCTACTCATCGGAGATGGGCACCATTCCGTTTTCCCAAGGCTGATTTATAAGCATCCAAGATTGCTCACTCTGAGGTACAGAAACTCTGGGTTTCTGTACATGTATTTTAATTGTCTTAGTGTGTGCACCTTCTCTGCCTTTTACTGATCTCCATTAGTGGCTTTCAAGAATGCAACTTTGGTCCTAGAGAAAGTGCTGCCTTCAAAGCCACTTGACCTGCTTTAGTCAGCACCCTGGGGTGCACTAGGGTGACAGCTGTGTGGAACCTGTGATTGCTCCAGGCTGACTGACTGCAGATCAGCCTCTGCCCTGATTTAGTGTGTGCACTCCACAGACCTTTTTCTGTGGCCTTTGCTCTGTAGTTCTTTGGTCTTTTTGGCGTGGTGGCTGCTGGTAGGTTTCAGCTATGCAGTCTGATGTTGCACACATAGCCTGAACTCATGGGAAGCCATAGAGTGTGGGCCAGTCAAAGGCCTCCCTAGCTCCTGACCTTTGCCATGGCTCCTGACCTTTGCCAGCTTCTGTTGGTTGGCAGTGACTGGGGGTTTTCTCTGTCCTTGAGTCAAGGGAATGGGTTAGGCTCACCCATGATGTGCTAGCCGTGGTCATTGTGAACAGAAAGGGCCATCCATGGCTGCTGGGCTCGAGTCTTCTCCCTGGATCACATTACACTAAAAGCTGATCATTTTATCTGAGAGGAAGGAGAAAGTAAATGCTGGGCTGCAGGCTGAGGTGTCCATGGCCGATCAAGCAGCTGGGTCCCACAGAGGCATTTCTGCTGGTCCACCTGGAGCCAGCTGCTAGTCCAATGAGTCCTCTTGTGCTATAGATGAGCAGGGGGCTGGGTGGTCCAGGGTGATGTCCCTCTTGCAGTGGAATTGCATCTCTGCCCTTGGTGTCTCATCTTCAGTGAGGCTGCCTCAAGCATCTTCCTGCATCATTTTCCAAGGAGACTTGAGAGAGAAGAGTAGAAACTAAAGCTAGATTTTACTTCTAAAATCTACTAGAGTTTCTTTCTTGAAAGCTTTGCCTGCAAGTCACAACAACATCACTTCTGACATACCACATGGATAAAAGCAAAGTCCCAGGCTTGTCCACTTGCTGCTACAGGGAGGAGAAATAGATTTTGACACCAATAGGAAGAATGACAGAACTACAATGCAAAGACCCCTGCATGAGGGATGGAGGGCCTGTGGCAGCTGACTTTGCAGACAGTCCTTGACCAAGAGCAAAGGAAAGAGTGGCAGGTAGCTCTTCCACTCACAGAGCCAGAGATGAGATCTATCTTGTTCTTCCTTCCTTCCTTCCTTCCTTCCTTCCTTCCTTCCTCCCTTCCTTTCTTTATTGGTCTGCCTATTTCTTGTCTTTCTTTCTACCTCTTTCTATATGGTGCAGCCATATGGTGCATATGATTTCTAGCTCTGACCTCTCTTGCTTCAAGCCTTCTTTTCCCAGATGTCATTGTTGAGGAAACAAACAAAGGGGTGTTTTTTTTTTTTTTTTTTAATCAGAATCCATCCCCCGTAATTCAAGTTTTTGCTCTAAAATTGCCCTGCATTTTGTAGCATTGTTAAGCAAGGACCCCAGCTCCTCCACATCAAATAAATCAAAGATATGGTTGGTATCATAAAGTAATATTCCCAAGTGCTAAGCCCCTCAAATAATTTTAATATGAAGGCTGTTCTGCCACACAGTGAGAATAAATACGTTACGTTTTTATGGTGAAAAGAACACCAATTTACTAGAAAATGTGTACATAATACATAAAAATAAAATCCTGCCCACATAAATGTTGCTATTTATATTGCCAGCTATAAAAGGCATTCAACATTTAATTAACAATAATTTTGAGAATATGCGGATGGTCCTCCTTGACAGTAAAGTCTCAGGCACTGTCTCCTGGTTGGAATTCACTCGAGCTGAGGGAGTAAGAGAATAAAAGTAATTAAATGTTTATGAGTCCCTGAATGAGTGTCTTAGTGTTCATGTACATTCTTATTTGTGCGTGTATGGGTGTGGGCCCTGGGGATTGAACTCAGGCTGTTAAGGTTGGTGGAGAGCACCTTTACCTACTGAGCCATCCTCCAGCCTGACATATACAGTGTTCCTTAATCTTACTGCTTGCACTACTCTGGTCCTGTCACCGAAAGCCTTGTTTCTCTAGGCTGTGAGTCAGATGTGGTGGGGTGGGGGAGGAGGGTATGATCAGGAACTGGTACAGACATAGGTTTTCAGACGGCTCCCCAGGTTCCCCTGTACTCATTACTCGTATGTGTTTCTCATCCACGTCCTGTTTTCCAGGAGTTCATTCAGTTGGCAAAGAGATTGCTTAGTGATCCTGTGTTGGAGAAGGAAATCGTGACCAATGGAAGAGAGTACGTGAGGACACACCATTCCTGGCAGGTGGAGAGAGACACCTACCAGCGCCTCATCAGGAAGCTGGAGGCGAGCTTGGAGGATTAAACGATGGAAGTCTGTACTCGCCACATCTGTCCTAACAACCATTGGGTGCTCTGCTCTGGGTAGATGCCAAAAGATGGGACCTAGTCCTGGACCACTGAAATCCTAGAGTGCCCGGGAACATATCCACGCCCAAGTCTCCTGTGTGGCAGACACAGTTCCAAAAGTGCTTACAGCTTAGTTCTGGATGGGCTTATAGCTCACTCCTGCAAGTTCTTAGGGCTCAGTCCCAGATGTGTTTGCTGCTCGGCACTGGTGATGGAGGTGCATCTGGGGGGCCTTTGGGAGAGTGTTATAAGGACTGCTTTTATAACATACGGAGGCTACTTTTTAAGCAACCACCGTGCAGACCCTTCTCCTGCTTTCAGAGTGACCTTTGCCTATCATCACCAGTTCACAAAGAAGAAACAAAAAGGTCAGGACTGTCAATTGAGTGGAACTGGCAGCATTTTTGATAAGATCTTCACCTGCAGCCCATCACGGAGTCCTGATGGGCATGTGCCCCCCCCCCCCCCCCGGCTGTGGCTGGCATGTTAATAATCTCTGGAGAAGCTGTGAATGGGTTATATCAGAGCATGTCTCTCTCACTGGTACATCTGAGGGATGCTTTCCAAAAGAGGTCTACAGGTCCCACCCACCTGTATCACATCACAGAGAGCCTAGAAGATGATTGGATGGCCCCCATGATAGAGGCTGAGACCTTGCGTTCCGTGTGGGTGGTCTTCCCTCTTATTGCTAGGGAACTGAGAACAAGTGTTGACTAAGTCACAAGACAATGGTGGAACCCAAGACTGTGACAGGAGGTCACTGGGGTATGGGGAAGTCAGCGGGGTATGGGGAGGTCAGCCTGAGGGTCTTTCAGTGGGATCTTCTCACACCAGTGCACTGTGCCCTCTTGCTGAATTCCAGCAAGGCCATGCTACTGTAAGTAGGATGTGGAATGGCCACCTGTGGGAAAGCAAGCAGCTTGGAGGCAGAGAGAAGAAAAATGCATTCAAGAGCCACACATGCAAAGACAATGTCAGGCCTCTGGAGGGAACTGAGGGGGACTCAGCTCCCTCATTGTCCTTGCTGCAACCCGGAAGGCATGTCCTCGGTCTTTGCCTTTCTACAAACAAACAAACAAACAAACAAACAAGAAAAAGAAAGAAAGAAAACCTAGCAGCAACATCTCATTTTAAGAGAAGCAGGCTAGAAGGAAGTAAACTTTGTAAGCCAGTGCTTCAGGGATAAGACTAGAGCCCCATTCTATAGGGCTGAATCAGGCTTTCCACTTATTTTCATACCTCAGATCCTGCACGGTCACTTTCACGAAGGCTCCAGCCATGGCAGTGGCAATCCTACAGTCCTTGAACACCTCGCTAGTGTCTGGAGGCCAGCTGAGCAATCTTCTCATTTCCTTGGCCCCTGGCTTAAGCTGGGGTCTTACCTCTCTGGCCACAAGAAGAGGGAGGGAGTAATGAAGCCTGAATCCTGAGGGCAGTTCCTCTAAGCCCAGAGTTCAAAAACATCTCAGGAGAGATATGCAGAGGTCAGGTGTCATTGTTTACAAAGCGGGATGCTCTGGAATGTACACCGGTCCTTTGCCCAGTGTTGACATCACTGCTCAAACTCCACCACACCAGCTACACTAAGTTACATCTTCTGCAATGAGCACTTTGGGGGAAGAGAGGGTTCTTAGTTAATAAAGTGTGTCACCATCAGCCCATACAAAGACAGTGCTGTTTATTCCTCCCAGGCACACCGCTTGTGGCCCCCAAGAAAACAAATGCAATACTCAAGTGTCTGAGTGAAGGAGTTTGGCATGGACTCATACTAATAAAGCGTGGTAAATAAGAATCTGGGAAATGATAGGCTGATGGATGTTTATTCAGGGAGAAATCACACAGAAACAGATGACCGCTGCAGGTTCCCATTCCAAGGATGGCTCCTGATGCTCTCTGTCCCTGATCAGGAACTAAGAGAGCAAGCTAGGGTCCAGAATCCCAGACTTAGTCCCCCCAGGTCATGCCTGCACCTGTCCCCACGGCCCAATGGGCATGGTCAGTGCAACAGGTGCGGGCGGGGTGGATATCTCACTACATACTAAAGTGTGATAGTTTTCCCTTTCGGTAACAGACACTTTAGTAACAGGTAAAGAGGAGAGGTTCACTCAGGCTCACAGTTTGGAGTTTCTAATCTATACCTGGTTGGCCCTATTGCTCCGGGCCTGTGGCAAAGGAGCATCTTGACAGGAATGACTGGCAGAGCAAACCTGCTCCCTTTGCACATGGGAAATGAAAGAGAAAGAAGAACCCCACTCGAGGTCGATAGTCCACCTCCTCAGAGGGGCCCACTGCAGCTGTCCTCTCAAGCGAGTGTATGGGAGACACTCTCACCACACAGGCCGAAGAGGGAGGAGGTTTGCAAATGTTTGAGTGCTTAGCAGGCACCTGGTACAGCCTGGCTCTTGCGAGCCTCATTACTTCTTCCCTTCACTCATGACAGTTTCATGTCAGCCCCTCACAGACTGGGGTGCAGTGAACGTTCCATATCTACTGCTTTCTAGTCACTACGACGGAATCCCTAACAGAAGCAACTGAAGGGAGGTCGGGTTTCCTTGGGCCCATCTGCAGGGGCGTTCAGTTCACCCTGGAGGCTGTAGTGACTCTGTGTGGCTGATCAGAGAGCTGGGGTAGGAAGCTATGCCAGGTCAATATTTTCAAAGGCATGCTTTCCTTCATTGGCCAGAACTCCCATCCCAAGGTTCCACAGCCTCTCCAGAAAACACCACCAGCTGGGTTGTCCAACATAAGAGCCAATGTGAATGTTCTCATTTAACTGTAGTACACCCCGGCCTCCATTTTGTCAACTCCAGCACTTCCTGCCTCTTTCCTGATATTTGCAATTCTGCTTTACAGTCCAAACAACACATTTACTTATTTAGATTTACTCTTATGTGTATGTATGAGCATGCATGGGTTCACGTGTGTTCAGAAGCCCTCAGAGGCCAATAAGAGGCATCAGCATCCTTTGAGATGGAGTTTCAGATGATTGTGAATCACTTCTCGGCCTTTTGGCTAAGATCAAGTGTAGTATTAAATGATTGTGAGCTGCCTAATGTGGGTGCTGAGAACTGAACCCTGGTCTTTTGCAAGAGTAATACGTATCTTTAACTGATGAGCTGTCTCTCCAGCCCCTGTGGTGGCATTTAAAATGTTTTAAACATGCATCAGCAGGACCTACTTAACAGGGATATGGAGGAGGATTCTGGGGACATCGTGCTTGACAACAGGAAAATAAAACATAGGGCCTAGGGAGATACCTTGGTATGCAAGAGCACTGGCTAAGTGAGTCTGAGGACCTGACTTTAGATCCTAGCACCTATGCAAAAAGCTAGATTTGGCCACAAATGTTGTGTGACATTTTCTGGAAAACAAATTACTCACCCTAGATAGGAAACCTATGGCACACTAATGTACAAACACTACCAAGGCCCAGCTTGGTGAACCAGTGAGTTTGTTGGTGTTACTTACAGGAGTGTGGGTGAGGAGTTGCATAAGAGCATAGATTACTGGCTGCAAAGACCAGCCTGAGTGCCTCTTGTCAAGAGGTGCAGGCAGCTTAACAGGTCAGAGAGTTCCCTCTTCTTCAGGTACCCTACCTACCTATATAATCTTGGGGGAGGGAGAGGCCTTGTATGTCTGTTCAGTTTCAGGGTCTTCTTGAGGCTTGTGAATTGCTTACTTCCTGAGTCTTAAGAGCCTCTCTCTAAGATAGAATGTTTCAACTCAGATGAAATTGCTATTTAGCAGCCATATGTGCCTAGAAACAGTGTTGTGGGGATCCTAGACAGGAGAGTCCCTGGGGCTTACTGGCCACCAGAGTGGTTCTGGGCTCTCAGTGAGAGTTTGTTTCAAAGAAATAATGCAGGGGATAGAAAGATGGCTCAGTGGTAAATAGTATTGACTCTTCCTCTGTAGGTCCTAGGTTCAGTTCCCAGTACACACACACACACACACACACACACACACACACACACACACACACACGAAAAATTCATTCTTTCCCTCTGAAATAACAAGACTCACTTGGAAGATCTAGACTTCTATGGAGTGAGGGACCCACACCTTTTCCATCTTGCTCTCCCCCCCCCCCCATCAGGAGGGAGGTAGCCATTACTAGCTCATGGTAAGAAGAGGCTGCCTATGTTCTTTCATTATGCCTGAATCCCAGGTAAGAACAAAGATACCCATCTTTGTCTTCAAGCTAATACTTACTTTGGGTAATATCCCATAACCTCATGTAGCTGCAAGGGAAGCTGGTATATACAAACTACTGGGCTTGATTGAGGAAGAAAAAGGTGGTGCATGCATAAGATGGCCCTACTCTAGTAGCAGCCATTGAGATACACTGAATTAAGATCCTGGCTATAGGCAACCTGATTTGTATAATTGCTTTTAATATCAAGAGCAATATTTTCCTGGGCTTTAATTTAGCCTTTAAGGTCACCGCTCACCTTTTCTCCATCAGATGATCATTTATAGTTCAAATTCTCTGCCAGCACATCCTATTGATCAGCACCTCAAACTTTGCTGCTCCTAAATTAAAACCTCAGTATATAAGAGAACGTGACTTTTCATGGCATGGAATGCCCCTTTGCTGCAGGTGAAGCACAGTAAAGTGAGATGTATTGATTATACATAGACACAAGCTCCCTCTGAATATCCTTACGACAGTCTGGAGTGAATCAGCACTTGGTTGTATGTGTTAAGAGGGTTCTGAGACATTGAGATCTTTTCCAAAGAGATCTACCAGCCAGTGTTCACTAAATTCACTCTTACACATTTAAAATTGAGATGCATGGAGCTGGAGAGATAGCTCATCAGGTAAGAGCACTGGCTTCTCTTGTAGAGGATCCAGGTTTGATTTCCAGCATCCACATGTTGGCTCATAAATGTCTATAACTGTAGTTCCAGGAGATCTGACATCTTCTGACCTCCTAGAGCACAGACATGTGTAGGGAAAATAATACATATAATATACATCTAAAAAAGTTTTTTTTTTTTTTTTAAAAAAATTTACTAAGGTGCATGGGGCTGGGGAGATGGCTTAGTAGTAAAATTCATGT